GAGAGAGAGAGAGAGAGAGAGAGAGAGAGAGAGAGAGAGAGCCCTATAATTTTCTCCGTTTTGATTGTTCCTCTGATGTTTGGCCTATGTCCATAGCAACATCGATATTGTTGTCTTTCGTGGCACGCAGACAGAGTGTTGGTTGTGCATGTATAATTGCGGCAGATGTTGACATTGTGGGGCGTACGGTTCCACCACATGCAGTGGCAACTGCTCCATGTATGACGCAACTCAAGTTCACACCCCATGACAACGATGTCGTCAGAATGGCCTCCTTGTGTATGAGAACAAACCATGATTTTCCAGTGCGAGTCCAACGTTTGTCGTTTTCCATGCACGACATAATTGTCTTAATAGCTTCGAAGTGTAGAGGCCCGTCCGGTGTTGCCACCTTGTCCACAACACATATCAACGGGTGCGGTTTCGAGAAAACACGAGGCAACCTCAAAATTGCATGACACCACCCTTTCGAGGCCTGACCACCACCTCGCTTTACGTCCCAATAAGGGTCGTATTCCTCGCCCTCCTCGTCGCTGCTGATATCACTGTCACTCACTCCCAACTCCCATGACGTCGGGTTCTCTTGTTGCGGTCCTGTCTGTGCATCACCCTTGTCGTCACAAGGAACCACCACATCATCTCCCTGCCGAGATGCTTGTCCACCTCCTTCGTTAAAGTCATGTGAAGGATGTTTGGATGCTAATCTCCACTCTCTGAATCCGCCATGGACAGTCACTGCATCCGCAGCAGGATTCCTCAACACGGTCTTGGCATCCGCCAGAGATACTGCGACACTTCTGTCCTGCACTGTCATGTCTCTTGTGTGTGTCCTTGCGGTGTCGTGTTCTGCAACAACCATTTGCCATCCTTGCTTTCTCTTCCTCCTCCTGTCCACGTCCGTCGATGCCGCGGTCAACTCCTCCACAACTTCGAATATGTTCCACCGGGACATAGGAGTCCCCGATACAAGGTCGAGTGTGCGATCCTTTACACACTCAACATCGACAACCTCCACTGCTACTATTGCCTCCGCTGTCACCTCATGCAATACCTCGTGAATGAGATTTTTGTCCTCTTCTCCACTCTTCATAAAGTCAACAATCTGGTCGAGTAGCACATACTCGACACCGTCCACCAACATTGTTGTCAGTTCATGGTAGTCAATAGGATCTCTTTGAGGCACCTCATTCATCCTGCTCAGTGCCAATATCTCCGCTGCATTCAGCTTCAATTCGTCAACACCCCCTGTCTTCAACATTTGAGTTTCCCTCGCCTGAGATCTCACAAACTTCTTGAACGCTGATGTGTCGTAAGAACCTCCTCCCTCTCTTTTGGTCATGTCGATGTCTCCGTCATTGCACATCCAATCCACAACTTGGTGAAGGGTGTTCGCAGAGCAAGATGCAATGGTGTCGTCGTCATGCACGTATGCATTTTGATATAAGCGCAGCAGCAACTGCTGTGCTCTCATTCACCTGTCTCCATTTGTTGCCACAAGCCGCTGAACGTCAACCCTTGTGTCGAAGTACGTCGGCGCTCTTTGTCGTAACAAAAACAGCTCCTCCTCGTTGTCGTAGTGGATTCCCTCTGTTGCGTATTTCATCACCTCTCTCTCTGCTCTCTCGACTTGTTCCGCCGTCATCGGTGTCATTTTTCTGTGTTTTTCTGTGTCCGGCTGTCAGTGCCACCACAACAGTTGCATTCAGTTGAAAGACGATGGTGAGGGGGGGGGGGGGGGGGGGGGGGGG